AGGCAAGAAGAAAGGAGGAGGCGGTCCTTCCAGGATTACACTGGGCAGAAGATCACCCTTGAGGCTGTCCTTAACACCACCTGCAAGAAGTGTGGCTGTAAAGGTAAGGTGGAGCCAGCCATTTCTGTACTCCTCTGCTTGTGTGGGGACTTTTACTTCCTGAAGGGGATAGCCCTGGGTAAGTTTAGCCCATCCTCCTTTGCTCCTTTGTCCCTAACCAGGGTGCACCTGCTCGTGCTGTTGTTCCTATCGGACTTAGAACATATGGCTTGATGCTTTTACTAGTTACTTTTTGAATTGCAGCCCTGTGAAATACCACGCGTGTATCACGCACCACGCTTCCTTCTGTGCACTTCTTGCACTGTAGCTGGTGACCTATCTGATTCAGGGCCCCATGTACTAGTCCACGAGGGATAAAGTATTAGATTGTGATTAACACTCTTCAGTTTTATCTTCAGGGACAATTATTGTTTTGGAAATCCTAAATGACAGGAAAATGCACTCTTTAAAAGTCCATGTTAAATCCTTTTTTCATCTTTATCTCATTAACTTCAGAGTTCTAAGTATCTTTTCGTAATAAAGAATATAGGATAGTCACTAACTTTTAGCTTGATTTCCTCAGATTTCTTCTAGTCTTACTCAAATATTAAAAAGCTCTTTCAGCCTGACTTCCCTCGTTGGAGCTATAATGAGAGGGGTTGCCAGCTTCTTGTTTTCAGAGTGACCTCAATTTGCTCCCTCTTCTCCCTAGCCTTCCTTCCCTCATACTGTTCATTTTTCTACAACTGGTAACAGATTTGTGCTCGGGTTGAAATTGTAGGGTTTTATGTCCCTATTTATTATTAATATAGATGGAAAAGAAAACAGTGAAAGAAAGAATACCTCCTCAGGGGAATTGTGGGAGCATTTCAGGTACTTGGAAAATTCTGCTGTGTTCCATTTCCAAGCACCATCCAGCTTCTGGACCCAGAAATGCATAGTCGTTTATACTTAGCTTTTTAATTATCTCATGCAGTTCTTCTATGCCCCTGAGATAGCGTCTGTCCGAAGGTTAGACACAACAAGCTACTGGGGATACAGCATCTGTTTAAGGGACCCTTCATTAATCCTATAGACTCAGGGAGGTTAGAGTCTCCTAACTTCAACTTGTATCTGTCTGGTGCTAAATAAAGCAGAGTAGAATACTGAGTGGATTTTCTCCAGTCAGCAAAAATCAGAATAAAAGTCATTGGCGTGTGTGTGTGTGTGTGTGTGTGTGTGTGTGTGTGTGTGTCTTTTGGAAACAGGTTTTCACTAGGCAGTTCAGGTTGGCCTTGAACTCACTTTGTAGTCTAGCAGGCTGGGTTTGAACTTATGGCAGTCCTCAAGCTTCAGCCTCTCAAATGTTAGGATTATAAATGTGTGCCACCATGCCCAGCAATGTAGTTGATTTTGATGTAGCCAAAAGAGCACAAGGCAAAGGGCCATAGAACCTGAGACAGGATTTAACCCTGCTGATGTCTGTGTGACCTTGAGCTGCTTCCTAACTAGCTGTTCATACTCTCTGTAAATGTAGGATGTTGGATGAGCTGTAAGGCTCTTGCCAAATCTGACAATCTGTGACTATCCCGTGCCCCTAGGTGACTGCCTCTGTACATGCTAGTTTGGATATGAGTACTCACTTCCTGCCAGCTAACTACTTCAGAGTTTGGCCTGCCACTCAGCTTCCTCTGCTAAGCATCCTGCTCTCAGTTCCAAAAGAGATCTTACACAGGAAGAAACCCCATTGCTAATGGAGGGCAGCACAAGCCTGCATCCTCATATCCTCTGCCATTTCCGAAGCAGCACCAGTGTTCCCCTCAGCTCTGTGACCAGCTGCTTACCTGGCTTGTGTGAGTGAGCATTGCCACCTAAAGGTGACGGAAAATTGGCCTGGAATGAACTCAGTGCCATCTCCTGAGCCACAGATCCCCCTGCTGGCGGGACGGACTGCTTCCTTTCTCCTGTGTCTGTTTCTTTTCTGCAGGCCACTTTGCAAAGGATTGTTTCATGCAGCCAGGTGGGACCAAATATTCTCTGATACCCGATGAGGAAGAGGAGAAAGAAGAGGCAAAGTCAACTGAATTCGAGAGGCCTGACCCCACCAGGAATTCATCCAGAAAAAGAAAGAAAGTGAGTGTTGCATGCTTTTTGTAGAAATTTTAAAATATTGAAAAATAAATAGAGGTGCTATGATCTTTCCATTTGAGACTCTTATTAGTATTTTTGGATATTCTAATCTTTTGTGGGTGATTGTGTGTGTGTGTGTGTGTGTGTGTGTGTGTGTATATATATATATATATATATATATATATATATATATACAAAACAATTGCTATACATAGCAATACAAAATTATGTCCTACTAAGAATAGTTTATATTGCTGGATGTGGTGGTGCACACCTGTAATCCTAGCACTCAGAAGGCTGAGTCAGGAAGGTTGCTGTGAGCTTGAGGCCAACCTGGGCTACATAGGGCCAGTCTGCACTACGTAATGAAACCCTGCCTCAGAAAAATAAAACAAATAATATGAATAGTTTATAACCCTACTTTTTTTTTTTTTTTGCGGAACCAGGGATTGAACTCAGGCCCTTGTGCTTGCCAGGGAAGCGCTTATTCCACTGAGCCATCTCCCCGGCCCCTATAACCCTACTTTTTAAAAAACTCATTTTGCAGTATCCATATGTGTTCATTAAAAACTTAATATAAGTGCAATACAGTACTCTTGTTTTTCATTAGAACTTCATCAATGAGATTTTTGCAATAATATATAATCTATAACTATATGATTATTAATTTATTTTCCTTTTGCTGGATATTTTTAATTAGTTCAACCTAAATTTTTGAATGTATGACTTATTATTTTCTTTGGGTGGACTCCTAGGTAAGATTACCGAGTTAAGCGCCAGGGAGCTGGCTCAGTAGAATAAGTGCTTCCCTGGCAGGCACAAGGGCCTGAGTTCAATTCCCAGTTCCGCAAGAAAAAAAAAAAAACAAGATTACTGAGTTAAGACTTTAAAGGTCTTCGGATAACTCATCAAACTGTTCTAGAAAGTACTTATCTGCCTTCAGTAGCATAGAAAAGTGTCTATCTCCCTGAATTTGCTCCCTGTTACTACTTAAAGCAGAGCAGTGCATAAAACAGACCTCACTGTGGTGCAGAAAGAAACAACACATTCATAGCAAGCTACATAGAAAGGAAATGAAAGGACTATGCTCTAATTTAGTCAGAAAATAATTGTTCTTTTATCCTGCAGGAGTTTTTTGTGACTAGTTTATTGAGTTTTGTTTTTAAATCTTTAACAGACTTGTTGAATGGTCATTTTGTGACAGGCATTACAAAACTCTAGGAATACAAAGATTGATGAGAGCCTTGCTTTCAGCCGTTATTATCTGTAAATAAAATATAATCTTCACTTTATGAAGGTTTCTTTACACTCCTCTACAGATTAGCTAGTGACCATTTAGGGTGTTCCTGTCTCTCCTAAGACATCAGTCCGTGACTTCCACATCCATAACTAGTGTCCCATGGATATCTCAAACTTTGGTTCAAGTTATTCAGTTTTTAAGACTTTTCTTGTGCTACTTACTACCATGCAATTTGGAGCTAACTTTGTTTTCTTCCTTTGTAATGAAGGACTGTCATGATCTTTGGTGACAGTATTTCTGTGAGTCTATGTCTTTGTGTTACTACTACACTATTTTGATTACTATAGCTTTTTAGTAAGAAATGTACATCTTCCAACTTGGTTCTTCTTTTTCAAATTTATTTTGACTATTCAGGAACCTTTGAGAATTTTGTGTGAATTTTAGGAAGGATTTGCCCAGCTCCCAAAAACAGGTAGAAAGCCCTGACAAGTAAGTTCATAATAATGCCGTGGATAACTACCATCATCTCCTTTTGAGCCCTTCTCTGCTCAAACACATGTTGTATCCCCTAGCACAGAATTTTTTGTTTTTATCCCAGTCTCCCAAGAACGAGTCCAATATGTCCTTATTTTCTGTTCCTTTTCATCTCATATGTAGTCAGTCACCAAGTTCTGCCAGGGGTTAGTGTGTATGTATTTATTTATTTGAAGACAAGGTATCACTGTGCAGTTCAGGCTGGTCTTGAACTCAAGGCAATCCTTCTGCCCCAGCCTACTGAGTGCTGGGATTACAGGTGTATGTCACCATACCCAGCTAGGGACACATCTTAAGCAGTCTCAAAATCCTGTTCCTTCCTCCTACTCCCATTGTGGCAAAGAACATATAACAGAAAATTTACCATCTTAAGCCAGTTGTGGTAGTACATGTCTCATCCCAGCAGTCTATAAGGCTGAGGCTGGAGGATTACAAGTTTGAGCCCAGCCTGGGCAGCTTAATGACTCAGTGAGACCCTCTCTCTAAGGAGAGAAGGAGAAAGGAGTGGGAATGGAAGGCCCTGGGTTCAATCCCTCATATTCCCCAAACATATTTTTTTAATTACCATTTTAGATTAATCTCTTTCTCTCACCCTCCGTTCTTTCCCTCCTTTTTTCCTTTCCTTGCACACTGGAAATCACTGCACAGTCTTGTGCATACTGGGCAGGTGCTGTAGTCCCAGGCTCCATCTTTCTTTTTTTTTTTTCTTTTCTTTTTTTTTTTTTTTTTTTTTTTTTTTTTTTTTTGGCCAGGTAAGAGCTTCTACTGAACCATCTCCCTGGCCCTCCAGGCTCCATCATAACTATGTTCAAGTACACAGTTAGTGTGAATCATATTCACAGGATAGCATTGTCTGCACAAGTAATTGTCTTCATGAAGGCCATTTACCTGTTTTGGTTTTTATTGCATATATCATATACTTCTGGAGTCATGTTGAAGAAATTCCCCTAAAAGTTTGTACATTTAGAATTTTGCATTTTTATATGTGGTGGAAAGTAAGGGTCCAAACGTTTTTTTGCATTTATCCTATCTCCACCCCCACCCCCACTCCCGGTTTGGTACAGGGGATTGAACTTGAGACCTTGGCATGCCAGGCAGGTGCTTGAGCTGCTGAGTTATCTCACCGGTTCTTCCATCTATTGACAAAATTGTCTTTTCTCCCCCAAATGGTCTTGGCATCTTTGCCAAAAATTGTTTGACCATACCTGTAAGGATTTATTTCTGGATTCTTTATTCTGTGAGTCTATGTCTGTCTTTGTGTTACTACTACGCTATTTTGATTACTGTAGCTTTTTAGTAAGAAGTGTGAGTCTTCCAACTTGGTTCTTTTTCAAAATTATTTTGACTATTCAGGAACCTTTGAGATTTCGTATGAGTTCTAGGAAGGATTTTTCTGTTTACTCAAAAATCTTGGGATTTTGACAGGGATTACATTGAATCTCTGGATCACTTTGCATAGTATGGACAACTTAACTATATTACAGCTTTTATTTTTTGTGTGTTTAATTTCTTCTTTGCTTTTTTTTTTTGTTACCAAGAATTGAACTTGGGACCCTGTGTTTGCCAGGCAGGTGCTATACCTCCTTTCCTCCTCCTTCTTTTTTTTGTTTTTCTGGAACCTGAGATTGAAGACAGGGATTTGAACTCAGGCTCTTGCGCTTGCCAGGGAAGCACTTATTCTACTGAGCCATCTCCCCGGCCTCCTTTTTTCTTTTCCTTTCCAACACTTATTTGGTAGGGTTTTTTTTAGTATGTAAGTTGTCTGCCTCTGTTTATTTCAAAGAATTTTGTTATTTGATAGTTGTAAATGGAATTATTTAGTGCCTATTCATTTTAAGTGACTAGAAACACGTGATATTTACATGTTGGTTTTATATCCTCCAACTTCACTGAATTTTTTTTGTTTTGCCATATTTTTCATAACAGGGATTGAAGCCAGGGGTGGTCAGCTGCTAAACTGGATTCCCACCCCGTTTTGAAACAGGTTCCTGCTAGGTTGTCCAGGCTCACTTTGTTTTTAGGGTCATGCTATTTCTGTCTCCCAAGCAGCTGGGATTATAGACGTGGCCCACCACACATGGCCATAAGTTAGGTTTAAGAGTGTGAGTGTGTGTGAGAGAGAGAGACACAGAGACAGAGACAGATCTTTATGATTTTCTGCTTAGAAAATTATATCATCTGCAAACAATTTTATGTCTTTAGCAGAGCTAGATTTTTAACTGTGTCTATATATGCCAAGGTTATTACTTTTTAACCTTCTATGGAGTTAAATGGTATTTATCAGATTCCTAAAGTGGTTACGTTGATATTTTATATCTGTGGGTTTATAGCTCATACTTGTAGTGATTCTCCTGTTTTCTGCCTCCCTAGTGCTGGGATTACAGGTGTGTGCCACCACACCCGGACTCCATCACTGGCTCCGCGCACATGGAGGGGGGGAGGGGGGACGGCGGCACAGCCTGGGGTGCCAGGGATCGAACCCTGGCCCCTGCACTTACCTAAGGAAGCACTTAGTCTGCTGAGCTATACCACTGGCCCTGAAATTTTTATTTATGTGTTTATTTGTTGGTACTGGGAATTGAACTCCGGATGTTGGGCTTGGCAGGCGAGAGCTTATGCTGCTGAGCTATCTCCAGCTGTGGGGTTTTGATTGAATTCTTTTTGTATTGCCGAATATACTAACTTCTATTCATTATTCCTTTGTTTCCTAACTGCTTTGATACATGCACTTCAGTTCACCGAAGCAGTTTGTAAGGATCTGCTAGATATGAGACTTTTTAACCTGTTTAATTAATCCACTATTCTATCCTGTAGTAGAGGCTGATGAACAATGATGTCTCAGTTACTCTTTCCTTTTGTTGCTGGGACAACATACTCAAAACCAGAATTAAGGAAAAACAGTTCAATTAGTTCACAGTTAATGGAGGTTTTAGTATATATTTGGCTGTACCCCAAGGCAGAGTGTAACAAGGCAGAAGGCAACAGTTCTTCCCCAGGAAAACAGGAGAAAATGGAGGGAGGGGCAGCAGCTGAGGCTTCTAGCTAGCTTCTTTCCCCTCCTCACATTGTCAAGCAGATTACCCACCTCAGGGCAGAGGTTGCAGTCACACCCACAATCCCCACTGAGGATCAGGAATTAATCACAAACTCTAGAAGCCTCCCCATTAACTATATGGGGCTTTGGGGGGACACTTAGATACAAACTTACCAAATGGAGATAGTAATCATG